AATTATTTACTAACACTGGAAACATATTATATGCCTTTCACAAGTTACAACAGAAGGATTCTGTGTTGTTTAATCCCTAAGATGAAGGAGATATCATTACATTGTATAAGTTGCTGACGGAACGCCAACAGCTTTAGCCTTATTGCTGGACGGAGCCTGTGCGCGTGTGTGTGTAAAGGTCAGGGTCTCATCGGACCGGAGTTAATCGCCGTTGCTTGGCTAATTTCGTTTCGATCAATCACGCGGCTCGCAAACTTGATTGACGACCTTCGTTGTATCTAGCCTTGGAGTAACTCCTGGATAACAGATGCGCGCTCAGGGATACATGACTGCCGAGACTACTGATAGCCCACGAATATTCACATTCACGAAATCAATAACGTACAGCAACAGCGAAAACACACGGCGCGTTGCAAAATTAATGAAGCCGCGAGGACCGCAGTTGATGGTTGATGAGGCAGACCAAAGAGCGAGTCACGGTGACTACAAACGATCTTTTCCCTGTTTGAAACTTCATGATCAATAAGAGAACAAAATATCAAGGATTTCATACCTCCGTGAAATTTGAGTTTTTATGAATTTCTCAGTCTTGTGCTATTGCGAATTTTTCGCTGATTGTGTCACTCATGCAAATTTGCTTTATTGCTTTATTATGTTTTAAGATCTTGTATTTTACGTTGTACGTTGTTTGCTATACATAGTTTGATCACAATATTAGCAGTAGATTATCATAATATTGTTAATTTTTACGTATTCTAACTTTGTTTTCTATCATATCAGTTCGGTGGCCTTCACAAATGTACAAGAAAGGTAAGAAACGGTGCATAGAAGATGGCTGTGCTTCCATGTTTTGTTGCTTGAATTCTTGATACAACATCTATGACTATGATCTCCGTTTTGGAAATATGTTGTTTTCGTTCATCTTGTTTGTTTGTTTGTTTGCTTGTTTTATTTTCGCGCTATCGAATTAGATTTGGAGTCTGCAGGGGACGTAATCCAAAGAAAATTTCATGCTGTGGCTTAATGGTGGTGGAACAGAACTTGTGTGGCATACCTCACGCCTCACGGTACTGATGTACAATAACTAGATCTATATAAGCTGGGTCATGGTAATATGTCAAAGTTGAAGGCTCCTGAAACATGACTAAAACACATCTGCACATGTACAAGCATGGTATATAGACAAGAACTGTTTACAAGTCTTTACCTTTGACCTCATGCATGTTGGAACCGTGGACCCGCTTATAACTCGCTCTGTTTCCTTCTCAATAGCAGCTGACGATGACCGCGTCAACAAGAAGTCGGCGGAGTGGGACTCGCCAAACTAAGGGGGCATCATTCATGGCGGACACCATCTATATCTTAACCGAGGTATAACCTGTTTTCTCAGAAAATGAACCATCGATCAATGTGGCATCACATTTTTTGTTTCAGTACATATTGTGACCATACCGTATCGTTTTTCATTGATTTTCCGTGTGCTGTACTGGTGGTGTGATATCAGACAGTGCAAAATGACATTTACTAATTATGTACAATTAGTAGTACGTTACAAACGACGCAACACTACACTGAGGAGACAAGAAGACAATAAAGCTGTTCAGTGTAAATGCGCTCACATACACGTAGTGCGTTTGTCGTACGATCGCATGTTGAGAACATTATTGATCTTGTCTTAGGCCCTTAGATGTCGGCGGTTGGTTCTGCCATCGCCTGCTAAAACCAACCACCTGCTTAAAACAGACAACAAAATCGTACGATGACCTCTCGACGAATATGAATTTAGGACATCCTAAGTTAGAAAGGTTTTCAAACTCTTTTCATTATTTATCGGCATGCTTCCTTGTCACTGTTAAACATCTTTTTACTTGCAGATATGTTCCCAGAGTTACTAGAACGACATCTCAGAAGAGCCTTCCAGTCAAGGGCAGAAGATTGGATATAGTGATTGCGTGTCTTGTGATTTCATAGATACGTTATACGCTGCAATCTAACGTCATCGTTTACGAAGTATTATTTTTTCAAGTCAGTGGTGTATATTATACTCAGGGCATCTATACTTCTTTGACATTCAACATATAGATGTTTCTCAATGTTTATTTGGAGCAGGTATTATAACTTGGCCGAGGTAGGAGCAACCGTTGATTGATTTATACAAAGGGACAAATATCAGTATGGGCACATTGTAGGACAGGAAAGTATAGCGTATAGCATTTCTTCACCGGTTGAATCTGTTTATTTGTTTATTTGTATTTACCATTGAACACAATGGAGGAGAAAACAGTGCAGGTGGCATAAACCACCTCAGTGAAGGCAGTCTCCCCACACAGCATACAGAATGAAAGATAGAATAAAGATATACATGCAATAATTGAAGTAAAAAAAGAATATTTGCCCATCAGTACATCCTAAATAATCAAACCAAAATATCGGTGTTTGCATGAAAAATAACGTGATTTATCACTTGTCGTCTATGTAATTTTTTTTATTATCGATATGGATGAAGTGTTCTCGAGACTCGAAATATGAAGGGTTTATGGAAATGTTCGAGTGTGTACTTATCAGTCATTAGTGCAGATGTCCAACTCAATAAACCTACATGAAGTGTATGCAGCTTAAATGCTTTTCGTGTCTTCAGTCCTTAAATGAAGTTTACTTCTCGTGTCTTCAGTCCATTCGAAAATACCCTGAACACCAAAATGCTCGATTCTACAAGATAACACTTGATACATGGGACTCGTCATTTATCATAAGGACGACTGACTTCAATATTGAAAATGACAACAAAAATTCTGCACGATATCGATTTGAAATGAACATACGTGGATGAGATCGTGCACAGAGATCGACCATCGCCCTTCTAACACCCCCTTTAATCTTGAGAAGCTGCGACTGCTGAATGACCACATATATTTGACAATTGAATTTTATATTTATACATGAAGAGCGGATTATTTTAAGTTTTATGTCTTTTTTTTTTAAATCATGTTTAGAGACTGCAACCGATGAGTAACCCTAAATTTGACAGGTCACTCAACAGCCTGGATTCACTCAACGGCAACCCCGAAAAATCGGGGTTGCCGTTACAAATCGGGTGGCACCCAGGCTAACATTTTCTGTCTTTCGTTTTCTTTTATAAAATCTAGGACAACTCACTGAACCAAATCTAGTCGCTCAATGATCTCTGTTCAGTGAAAAGGGGACTTGAGCAGATTCTATCTGTCACACAAACAGTTATATGTTTTAGCCATCAGTTCCAATTCACTACATAATGCGGTCACAGTTCATACTCAGCTAGCTTGGAGTAACACACTGGGCAGTGGTGTATAGCCTTACTTTCTTTGTCACACAACAAGCAGAAGGGCAGCAGCAAGCAGATTGGCCAGAAACTGAAAGAAAGAAAATCATACACAAAGTCAAATATATATTCAGTAACAGGTCGGTAAAGATAAAGAACCGATGGTCAACTTACTTATACACCAACAAATGAAGACCATAGCATGTCCAGGACAAAAGATACAAAAACAGGAAGTTCGGCTGTAGTGCCAAGAAACGCCGCCAGGACGACCAAATCAACCTAGACTTTTGTCTTTGTCTTCCTAAGACCTACCCACATACCAAATATTATCACCATCCATTCAGATCTTCGTAACTGTTGCTGATCACAAATATGCGGACACACAGATAGACACACCCCAAACAATAATTCCAGTGACATGGAAAGTAATACCAAATACATATAGCAAGAGGAGAAATGTGAAAATTAAAATGTATAGAAAAGAAGGTATGAGACAGAAACCTACAAACATCCCAGCACAGACGTGAGACAGAGAAGGCCCTCGTTCAGCCCTCCCTCTCGGTACGACACCCGGGACATGACGTTCTGTCTGCAGCTGCGGCAGTACGTCGCCATGGGTCTCTCCACGTGGTCGTCATCTCTCAGCACGATCACTTTGGGGTTCCCCGCAGGGTATGGTGGTGCATACTGTTGGCCGGTCCCGTGCGGGTAGGTGATAGTACCTTAGGTAATACACAGTGTTTGGATCAATAACTAACGTCATACCTACACAAGAAGAATGGCCAATCAATCAGAGATTTCAGACTCCTGCGGTATTTGGGGTTTTCGCGACGGTGACCTTCATGCGATGAGATAACAAACCACGTACACACCTGCGTGTGGTGGTGGTGACCCAGGGTAGGTTGGTACGCCACCCTGCGTCGTATTGAAGTATTGCAGTGGTGGGGCACTTGGAACCACCTCACTATATGCGGGTGGTGCATCGTAACTCCGAGCGGAGACCAGTCCTTCCCTATCAGGACGTCTGGGAAACATCGAGTAAAATCGTTGCATTCTCAAACACTTTCCTTGTTATCTGAAGAACAAATGGCAAATGTTGTCTTCAACAATCAAAACCCAGGAAGAAATACATATGAAGAATACATATAGTCTGATGATATAGACAATAGCACTAGATACCGAATCGAGTTGACTATGCTGTACCTGTGCAGAGCATATGCATTACACGGAGTTGTAAACAATCCACGTTAATGACTCATGAAAATGTGACTTTTCGTAATTGATGACGTCACGCCAGTTTCATAAGGGAATATGTCACAGTGGAATAGTCTTCCATTCACTTCAAAACAAAACAGAAAAGTTGGGATTTTTCAACAGGGTAAAAATTGCCGAAGACCACTCAGTGAACCAGTAAAATCTGGTTTATGTGGATCTCTATAGACAGGATTCTTTTAAGATGTTTGTGTCAATGGGAAAAATCATCCAAATTATAAAAAAGAGGTACTTGGTCACCCGTAAGGTTTGACTCTACTTCTCTATAGCATTCTCTGTAGTATTTAATAGTGAACGGACAAGCTGAATGAAAAAAAAAGAACACTGTCAAACGTAGACCCGTGTTCCCCGTAAAAATTGTAGGTCAAACGCTAACGTTATATGATATTCTCATTATGTTTATCCCCCAAAGCAGACTTACAGTTTACAACAGTTATATACTGAGGTTTACTAACCTGGAAGAGATGTAGAGATGTTATGTTTGGTTGAGGACCCCCTCAAATCGCTTTTTTCGTACGTTTGGCCAAGAAGGGTCTGGTAGCGGTAGTGTTTACAAGCCTGCAAATGTGTTGCAATCCTCTTTGGCAATACATAAACACGGGACTTACCACACCGGTTTGACAAGGTGTTGTCTGACCAATATATCGTCATCTGTTGTTGACCAAGCGACATCTAGCGACATATGAAATAGTTACAGGAGCTTAGAGCTACGTACGACCTTGGTTCGAGTTTGGTGCGGTGAAGAATAATGCGAAATATTTAGCGCTCTAGTGCTATTGTTAAACAATTGTTAATTGCTAAACAGTTATAACCTGATAGCACTAGAGCGCTAAATATTTCGAGCGCACAGAACATTTTGTCCTTCTTTCCTCCTAATAGTTACTATTTTATTTAACCAAGATTGTAGTGAGACAGGAGACAAGACAAATATATCGTTAAATATTGATCTCTCTTTATTCCTGTTAATTACGGTGGATTGATTTCTCCTATCAATAATATTTACAGTGCATAATTCTCTAACATTCACGTAGACAACATCTATCAAACAACTTGGCCGTCAACATGACAGTGGTCGACAAGCTTAACACAGCATTATGTTAGGAGCAATGATATTTTGTTACAAATTTTGTAGTTTATTTCGTGTGAAGGTAAAGTTCTCTATTTTAACTTTGACAACAGAAGACAAATTTGTATTTCTCTGTCAGGTCCACTCATAGAATCGACATATGAAATACACATATGGCGTTGTTTTGTTTGTTTGTTTGTTTGTTTGTTTTTGTTTACTCCATTCTATGATAAGTTCCCAGATGATTCTTGCAGTTAGGACAGGTATGCCGCACGTCCTTGGTAGAGTCCAAAAAGAAAGGCACGAAGCACAGTCCAAGTAAGCCGATTCTGCAGAAAGAAAACGCTGTTATGTCTATTTCTTGGAATAAGATTGTGTTTTTAAGAAAACCCAAACGACTACACGTATTGGTACACGTGAATATGCTGAGACACATAGACAGCACATGTCCTGTTTTTTTCCTACTTATGTTTCAGATGACATACAAATGTATAGGGTAAACTTATGACACATTTATGACACCATTAAAAATTAACTAGCTTAAGATCTGAGAGCAGTTTTTCGCATGTTAGATGACATTTGATGTAAACATAGCAGTATGTATGTGCACACTTTACCATGTTCAAATATGTATTTCTTGCAATTTCGCAAAAAATGTTCTGAAAACATGGCCTTACATCATGACGATGAGCATGAAGGAGGATAGCCAGGTGACGGCGCCGACCACCCTCTCCGTGTCCGTGCGGACGTTGTTGTTGCAGTGAGGACACTGTAGCTGTACCGGCTCCACGGGGAAACTGGCGGGGTTGATCTTGATGAGAGGCTGGGTCACCACCACGGGCTGTGGCGCCGCTGATATAGAAGCAACCAGCAAACAAGATTTAGGCCACGGCAATCTAAAAATTTCATGGATGGCATCTGCGTGTATTGATATTGATGTTAGCCTGATTTTGCAATTTGCTAAAACTACACTAAAAGCGTCGATGTGACACTGGTGTAGTAGCCATGAATGTAGTTGTAGTGATACTGGGCTAAAGCTACCACACTAGTGTCGCTTTCTGCACTTCTTGAATACAGGAATTGTTATTACGATATTTCTAGCTTAATTTCTTGTTTATGGCCTCTATTCTAATTGTTTCTTATTTCACGCATAAATGTGTACAGCTGTATATGTATTAGACAAAGCTGTTCTATGACCTATAACACGACTTACGTTGCTGGAGCGCGTACGCCTGGACATTGGACGAAGGGTCGACAAAACCTTCCTTCGTGGGGTACGGTGTGTAGGGAGGGGGAGCGTCCGCCATGGTTTGTGATAAAACGTGGCTACAAAAATAGACAGTATAGACATTAGATAGCTCCAAGCATTAAAAAACAGGAGGCTAACATAAACTACAGCGAACAGGAAGAGCCAAAATGTCAGATCTTTGAAGTTTGAATTGTTCACAGACACGGGCATTAAGAATGCAAAGAGACTCTTAAAGTACAAAAATCCTACATGAGTAGACATGATAATGACATACCTTACAAAAAGTCAGAGAACCGTTGTAGTATGTTTTACGGCTCAAAATGTCCGTCTTCTGTCACAAAGAACACTACGTCATAACAACCCTTGTTACTCCTCTGACGAAGGAACCCGTGACAAGCTAACAGTAGGGACCGTGAACAAATAACAACATCATAGTGTAAACGAAATTCAATCATCAGCAGTTTTTGGAAATACACATGCCAAACAAACCGGTATGTGATATAAAGGAAAAAGTGTTTATCGTAGAAGATGTAGCCGTCTTGAACGTCTTATATGCAAGCCTGTGTAAATTTTTATTTATGTTCAAAACGTCGAAAACTTCAAGAGATTCAAAGAGTCAAGAACTATCTGACCTTTCTGTTAATAATTTCTACCTATGAACGGGTTAAGAAAACATCATCCGTGTGCCACAGTAAACATTCTATAGTTACCATAGTGGTCAATGGTTGGCGCTACTTTATAACAACGGATACGGCTTTCTTTGTACGTGCGGCTTTAGCTGGGAGACTGAATCATAGTCATGTGTTTACATTTCTAGATATCAACATATACATATAGAGCCATGAAGTTGTTAATGAGTTGCTAAATATGATGTCTTCTAAGCAGGTATAGTGATATCAAGACAAAAATAAGCTTATCAGAATTTAACAAACGAAGCTTCATACATAAGAAACAGCAAAACCTAAACTCCAAAATACACAAACTCTTTGCACTCATCCCTGCTTATAATTTTGTGTTGTTCATTACACTATTGTTGTATTAGATTTTTGTGCAGGTCTTTCCGGTTGAAATAAAATGAGCAAAAAGGCCACTTTAAGTGCGATACCGTTTAATACACAATTCTTCATTAATTTCAAAATGTACAAGTCATAATCAATGGATACAGAAATACATTTGTACAAGTTTCACAAACGCTGCGACTAAAGTAAAATTGATATGTCATTGGTCAAACAGACACCTCTCTTGTTCATACTTTGGAGTTTGTAACTACTCCCAAACTTTTGTAAGTTTACATCTATTTCTCTTTTTCATCTACAAATTGTTATTGTCATGTAACGCTAAATACATAAACAACACAGGACAATCTTGAACCGCGGTACCTCATACGTTTGTAAATTACTAATACACCAATTTTATTTCTGTAATAATCTTACCTGTTAGACATTTACAGCGCCTTATTATTTCAATTGACAATAGGTATAAATGCAACACATTGTTCTATGTTTTTGCGCAGATATATTTAGATGACCATGTACACAGTACATGATGGTGTACATGGTGCACAGATGAGTAGGGGTTAACACCCCCTTTCCACCAGAGGCTGCGATCGCTGATGGACCAAATATGTGACAGATCGTTCAACGAATTTTAAAAAGACCGAAATTCTCTTAACCTTTCTTTATGCGTTGTTGCCTTTGAAATCATACTATCACACATCATATTAACATATTCAATAGGTCACACAAGTCCTCTCTTGATCGCTCATCGGTCAATTGCCGTCTCTAGCTAGTGAAAAGGGTCCCTGTTAATTTCTGAGCGGTTTGTAGCTGCCCAGGTGACTGCCGCAGTTCGGACAGCTGTGTTCCACGTCCATCATGGGCTTCAGGAAGAGCGGGAGGAAACAAGCACACACGACCCACGGGATTCTGAAAAAAAAACATAACATAAACGCAAGGATTCAATTTAAAATGTGTGTGAGGGACGTTCTTGCTTCGTAGCGTTAATCATACAAAGAAGATATGCCAACTTTGAAATACACATGGAGGCAAAATCTACATCAGGGCGTACCAACCTTTTCTCAACTGCGACGGGGGAAGATATCGACTTCCAACAAGCTTTGACCCATTGCTGATGCCACACATGCATAAAGTCACGTGTCTTGAGTAACTTGGGTCAGACAACTGAAGACTGAGCGATTCAATTGAAAATTCCAGTGTGTCACATCTTTCGAGTTTGCCAATAGTTTAATTTCTCCATAATAAAATTATATTTATTGCATCCATAGAAAGTGAAGACTACTTACAAGGAAACAAGAAGGAAGAAGACGGTGGCGTAGGTCATGGTCCCCCTGACGTATTTGAGGGACGTGACGATCCTGATCTGGCAGTGTGGACACATCATCACGACCGGCGCATCACCAAACTCCTCTGCGGGACCCGTGACTGGCAGGTTTGGGGGTACGGGAGGGATGCTCGCAGGCTGAGGGTCTAAGAAGAACCGAAAAGCCAAACTGTTAAAGAAGTCTAGATCTTCAGTTTGGGTACCTTTCTTTGGCTATTTGAGAATACTCTCCGAAAGCCATACGTATATCGACCTTGTTGAGTGAAGGGATTGCTCACATATGTCGTGCGATCGACCTTGGGGAATTCTTTAGTTCTGGTTATAATAAAAGTATTCTATAAAATTCAGATGTCTTGTTAACGTTACGATGTTGTCTTAGATTTCTGTCGGCAGTTACTTCTGTCACAGCCTGCTCGGGAATTCTAGGGTATCAAAATCGTACGACGACCTGTGTCGATGGAGCATATGCGGCCGATGAACATACACACGTACCCACTAACACACACACACACACGCACGCACACGCACACACACACACACACACACACACACACACACACACACACACACACACACACACACACACACACACACACACACACACACACACACACACACACACACACACACACCGACTGACGCGAAAACATTGACTCATAAACCCGGAATATTCAGTGAAGTGGATAGAACAAGTGGTACAGATCTGCTGTAGTCTGTGTAGAAATCGATAGATGTCACTTTTAACCAACCCCTCATTCTACCTGGAAGATTTTAACCTTTGGCCCATACATACAGTTCACATTATAAAGTACTAGTATCATTAGCATTACCACCTATAAGCAATTATACAAGGTCTGGAGACTGCCACCAGAGGGAATCTGCAAATATTTTGGGTTTTTTTTTGGTGTCAAATATTTTGAGATTTTCCTCTGTCAAATATTTTGAAGCTTCTTATAATTCATTAGCTAAATATTTAGGCCCGTTTACTTGCCAAATATTTTCACGTATTGTTAGTCACATATGTTGACATTTTTAACACCAGTCCTGTCCTTCAGGAACTGTTGCGTGTGTAAGATGAGTCACGTGATTGACACATCCGCGTTAATATCGATTTTCTTCCCAGCTGCCGCCTCAACCTTTTCACTCATGGATCAGTCAGGCCGACTGACGTCAGGTCAGGGTTTCACGTCACTGCAGGTAGGAACTATGGGACATAGACACGTGTACTGTTGAACACAATTATAACAGTAATGTCTTTAAAATACCAGCTATACAGGTGTCCATTTTGGTGTGATCATAGCAAGTGAAGTCATTTGAATTTGAAAGAAACACTAGTGTGGGTATCATCATTATCAATGTATCTTAACGTTGTTGCTTGATAAATTCTCAACAACGATATACTGCTGTTAAATGTGTGAGTTGTGTGTAGGGGGGGGGGATTGCAGTTACGTTATGTCATCTGTTAGTACTGGTGATAGATTTCCCTCCATATAGATTCATTTCTCCTTCCCTAGTCACGCTGACATCAAACTAATATCCATATGCATCTACACCCAGTAAACCCATAAATCACAGCGCTTCGGCCCTTTTATGGATTTTTCTCTGCGCCCATTGAATTATACACAAAACAGAGCCTCGCACTCCAGTACAGGACGTGACGTGTATAATGACCATGTGAAGAGCAGGTACAATTTTATCAATGTCTGTACCTTCTACTTGTGTTTACAGATAGTTCGGCGGGGATATAGTAATTCTAATGGGCCTAACACTTGTGTAGTTCCTGTTCTGTCATTTACTTCTACAAGTGGCTGTTGGTAATAAGGGGATAATCCATTGTTAACGTTGTCGTTGATATCATTATTTCCTGGACTTATGTAACTTACGGAGTTACGTCATATCCCTAATGTAGATCATAGATATACAGACGTTCCAGACTGCATGAAGCCATCTCCTAATCCTGCCATAACTCCGGTAATTATGATGCCCATTTCTCATCGCGGGGTTTCAGAACCGGACGTCCTACAGTAAGGTCAGTACTTATTTTTATTGATGAAGCAGGTTTGTGTTTTCTACATGGTATTGGTCGATGTTGCATATGGGTGGATAGTTCCCTGTTACACGTTATTTGTGTACCCGCTATTCTAGCACCGTAAGGTTCTACTCTTCTCCAAACTGCTTCAGCTAACTCCCAACCCAGGATTGTGGTGTTCAAAAATCATGTATTTTTCATAGATCTATCGTACAGTGCATTTCGCTGCCACCAAGTGCAGCAGGGACATCCTCACCACTATCAGTGAATAGTAAATAATGTTTGTAGTTAGAAGTACAAACGATACATGTAGGTGTGACAGGTCGTGCAGTGCATTATGATGTCGTAGTTAGTATTATATATCTACTCATGGTAGCCCTCGTTGTTTTAGTTACTTGAATTTTATCATTTATATTGTATTTTGTACTTTGTAGTTGACCCGACGAAAGTCTCTGTACTTTTGCGTCAATAAAGCTTCTCTATACATCATAACCAGCTGCTGTCGTGCCGTGTGCCTATTCTTAGATGTGAATAAGATGTACTAACAGTAATAGGATATTCATTTCAACATCATATTGAAGTATTAAGGATTGTAAAAGGTTGTAATAAGAGCTGGGACTTGTCTTTTACTGGTGCCTGAAGGCTAAAGGTTGTTTGATGTTTTCAGGCAAAATATTGATATTAGATTATGACGCAGTATGGATGTTAACGTTAACGATATATGAATACAGTGTAAAACGAATTCTGAGACGTCGACGGCCAATATTACGAGTATCATTTTATCGCCATGATGGTTATCTCTCTCGTATATTGACTGAGATATCTTATTTCCACATTCAGTGACCACGTCTGCTGAGAAAGGAGGGTCAAGGTCAATGGAAGGTCAACATAGTAGATCCAATCAAGTCACACACAACGAAGATATCTGAAAACACTGTGAAACAAGTACAGAAATGGCGCCCGTTGACGGAACCGTCAACAACGATGGTGGCGAATCGCCTAGAACAGATTCTTGCGGAGCGCCCTCTGACGGTGACGATGCGCTAGTGCAGCGACAGATGTTGGGGGAGAGGACATGCCTGGGAAGAACTGGCGCCAAACGGGATCCCGTGGATTCGGGGTTCATCCTTTCCCTCTGCTTCCTCGTCCTCGGGATCGTCCTCGTGGCAGTTGCCTGGACCATCCCGCGGGAGCCGACGGTCGACCCTGACACCCAGCCCGCCAGGGAAATAGAAAGGATCGAGACTAAGTACGTCATTTTACGCCAACACCTTGACAACTGTGTGATGGCCGGGATCATCTTCTTGACCTTGGGAGGAATTTCGTTATCACTGGTACTTCTCTATGCAATCTGCATGGGAGAACTGAACCAGTTATATCACATGACCACAGAAGCGACCAGCGCCAGGGATTATGGGAGCGTGCAGCGATTCGAGATGTCTCGGACGAACCGCGAAACCACGCAAAGTCTCGTGGATAACGAGATGTTGGTTGTGAATGAAGAGGCTGGCGTCCAACTTGGGATGCCGTCTCCGATTTACATGACCACAGAAACACAAGTCCAATATCAGGAAAGAACAGAATGAGTTTGGCCTGAAGATTAAGTGAAACAATCCTTAACATACTACAACAAGAAATAATAACAGATTTCAAAGAAGTTGGGGGGATTTGGTGAATGGAGGCCATTGAGTGACATTGAAATTGGATTGACGTAGCCTATGACTTCACAAATTAAATATGATCAGTCATACACTAGTACGATTCGAAAGACAACAAAGTACACAAAACTTACAAAAGCAAAACAAAAAACAAAACTTAATCAATGCAATTAATCTGAACTGGTAATGACAGATTCGGTCGTTGAATACTAGTAGTCGCTCAACGAATGCAGCATCGACAAAAACACAATGACAAAATACAGAATATAGTATAGACATAGGAAGCAATTTGTCGCCTGCCATAGATAACGTTGTTCATTTCATTACGCTGTTTCTTGTTCATTTCGAAATTAGGTTTACTGTTATCTACGAGTACCCCACTGATTTGATAATACATAATTCAACAGAGACTTGCTTCCTATCAGTCTGTGTTATGTTATAACAGCCCTGGCTCCCAACCTATGTAGAAATTGAAACAAATCAACTCTAGCTCTCTGGAGGTGAAAGGGACTGATTATGCACGTTATATTTGTATCGATTAGAAAATTGATCAATTCCAGTGTAGTAAAGATAAATGGGTTTATAGATATGCATATTTCTCATATAAGCCTTGCATTTCATCTGTTTGTTTCCTTGATCATTTCAAGATTATTGCACAACATTATTTTCCTGAACAATTTAATTTAGCGCAGATAACCATCTTGCGTTATCCGCCGTTACACCCCTTTCCACTACTCGGCGGCTGTGACCGCTGAGCGACCAAAGATTTGGCAGATCGCGCAAGGAATTTCGTGGATAAAGAAACGAGTTTTGTTACGTTTTGTGTGTTTTTAGTCTTTCAAATAATACGTTTACATCGTGCATCATATTCCAATTATAAATCAAGGGTCACAATTTTGGTCGCTGTACGGAGCTCAGCGATTCCCGTCTAGTGAAAAGAGGGGGGTACTAGTGTTATGTAAATCGCCTGTGTTATTATGCACGATGTTTAGAGCAGGAGGAATCGGTTCCGCTTTGTACCTGACAACGCGTTCTATCATCGGGTAATAATACCTTCTGTTCGCGATGCGCATGATGATACGGGATATTACTCTAGTGGTTTATGACAACGGAGGCAAAATTCTGGGACGTTGTTATTCACTGCGGCTTTGAGAAGGCACAGTGCTGCTGAACATCAGGCCAAAACATGTCAATGTTATGGATGACATCCGCGTGTTCATTGGTTTCGCCTGCTTTCAAAAAAAAGACACAAGATACTTCGTTCCCCTCCGGCGACATAACATAGCAAGAAGATACACCGAAGATAAGAAGATATCCCGTCTCGTGCGTTATCCTTCAAGTGTATATGTATAATTGATGCTATTGGGGTAGGTTGAGTGTAACATTATTAGCTGTAGAAGTGATACCACGCTAGTATCTGTATCTTTTATCCCATCATTTTTTGCGCGCTCCCGACAGATTTCGAGTCCGCAGTAGATGTCATCCATGAAATTTACTTACTGTGGTTTATGTACGTGGGCAGGTGGTCATATAAGGGACTAAGCAGCCCGGAACACCGGAAAATGACCCATATCGTTAGAACTGGCATAAGATTAAGAAAAGCTCGCCGCTATACAATGCTATGTTATCGCCATGCGTTGTCTGGTAAACATGTTGATAACATGATGAAAACGATATTGTGCTCCTCTTCCGGAAGAGACTAACTCTAAATCACTATCATTGTATTTTTCTCTAGAATTGAAGTGCGTACGTGTGGATTTTACCCATATCAAATAATAACTGTCTTTTGCAACAGTTGATCCCGCGCCTCACGAGCCCGTTCGCCTATCGTGAATTATTGAATGAAATTAGTGTCCGCAATGAGCGGTAGTTTTACGTCTCCTCTAGCCCTATAGTCTTGTAGATTGTACGTATGGTTGACGTAACATTTAGAGCACGGTCGATACACGTATGGTGGGGACAAATACTAGGAAATGGAAAAGGCTGAACATGGCACCTTATTGATATTTTTTCTAAATTCATTCTATGGATAACAACAATGCTGGACTACATAGACATTGTTCTTGTCACATTACTATAGCTGGCGACTTTTAGTTGTGTTCCTTTTTTCCGCTGAAAACTGCTTTAGAACCAATCCCTAACTACTAACACCTTCCCACCTGGACACTTGACTAGACCGATCCCGTAGCCCCGCCCACAAAATAAAATAAAACTGCAAATATTTGACGGACATGCAGCCACTCTCCCATTGGTTAAACTGTTCATTACAATGATATCATTGGTTGAACTGCTAACTGTGTTGTACAGTCAGGATTGTTGTCCCACAACGTCAAACTTAATGCGACCTTTCTGTGGTACATTTGATACATGTTTCTTTCGATAAGCGAACTGATAAGTCTGCATTAATGGTATCATATCACATACCTGTACAACCAATTAAAATCTAGTTCATTTTCCCTCTGGGATAATTATGAATTGCTAGAGCTAAGCGCTATCCCTGGTTAGAATCCTTGTATTTCCCACCAGTACGTGTGACAAGGCTGTATCCGGAAGATAGTGCCCCTGTGAGACTGATGTTAAAATTAGTGATTTATCAGATCCCATCTGGCACGAGACCTCTCTTCCGGGAAGTCACGATATGACAGGGACCTACCATTTTACAGGACGATGTGTATACACTTGAGTGCTTTTTAATTACTACCCCCCGTCTTTTTTTTTTAATATGTGATACGCTTTTCCTCATAAAATACAGTGGAAAGACACTGAACGAAAAATCTATAAAGTGCCTCAATCGCAAATTTCAGTCAATTATTCTACATCTTTTTATAAGGCAGAGGTGACAAGGCAAATTGGCGCTTTGTTACAAGAGTCAAAAACACGATCGCTAGGGACCGACCGGTAAGACTGGGGGGGGGGGATTTATCAAAATAGGAGGTTACATCAACATAATTATAAAAGATATTGCAATTGAATTGATGTGACCTCGTTTTTGCTAGCATAACAATACGTGATTTTTCTTAAGTATAACGCCTTTCTTCTGTCATCATTTTCAATTTTGAATTTTTATATCCCAAGTTTGCAATTTTCATACACGCGCGCGACTTGTCACAGTTTGGCCAGTGCTATCGTTATTCTTTATCAATGTTGAAATTATTCTTCATGTCAGCGACCACTAGGAAGTATTCCGGCAAAATGTCATTCCTAATCATTTTCAGGCAAAAGTGCACTTCAGCGTAACATACCATCTGCTGTTACCTCAATATCTGCATCATAACATCACACAATTTATTGACCTTTTCAGGAATATATGCAGGAATGTTTCCTTGTGTAAAGAACCTTGTAATCAAATACCGGGCCGAGAAAAAATCCCCTAGCAGTCAAACTGATTTATACCACGCCGGTAATATGGAGAGTAACGAACTGCCCCCTCGCTGTGCGATATCAAATCAACTCGTCCCTGGCGAGAGATGCATCTCTCCTGCCCATGATTATCCCATCACGATTGGACCGTTCCTACCCTCACTAACGTTCTGTCACCTTCATGCAGTTTAATTCGGCGCTCCAGACGGAGCACTTGCTTTGAATTTGCTACGCCTCGGCTAGAATATTTGTGGTCTTAATTTATTGCATAATTGTAGCGCTTCATTGCAGTCTAATCATCTGGGTCTATGCCAGGAATGGGTCGTCCCTGATGCATATATGCGCCTTGTTATTTTTCTCAGCGCGTGCAAGACGAGTCTACAGCAAAACCACTCCTGCTGTGCTGATGTTAATCCGACTTAAGGCTAAAACCGCGCCCGGACATATATCCGCTTAAACGCCGTAATCTGTGTTGGGCCAACTTAATTTCCAGTGTGCGGGGCTGTGTGATATTGCCTTTCGGACTTCATCGTCCTTCCACCGGTGGTGGACTCTGTTGTATCGGTCAATTCTGGACCCTGACGGTAAGTCGGAAGCATGAAGTGGTACCGGCTGTTGGCGCTCTTCATCACATTCGTAGCTGCCCTGCTAATCGGCGCCGTGGTCTTCAAATATTTGGAGGAGACCTACCACCCTGGCGTACCGGCCGCGCCCGAAACTACGACTAGCCGGCCCGAGGGGGACGAGCTGGCGGTGGTGGAGGACTTCGTCTCCCGGAAGAACCTCTGCGTCTCCGCGCAGGAACTGTTCGAGCTCATCGATGCCGTGCAGCAGGTGCGGAGCGCGTCGATTAATCAAGGTAGGGGTGCGGATAGAATTGGTGTTGACCCGAGCCGAGCGAGGTGCCTTTCTGATTAAGTGTTGCCGAATTTTCCAGACTAATCACGGCGAAACGCCCACCTTTTTAATTGAATCTGCTGAAATTCAATGCTCAAGAGGCATATGCGTTCTGGATTAGTGTTTTATGCCCGTGATCTTGATTCCGTCCTTACTTACTGGATTTTAGAATTTTACAACCTCGCTCGACAACTTGATTCCGATGTTTGTGTTTAAAATGTCGGAGAAATTTTCTAGCCAGGGTGCCATCCTATCTAGTTATAAGGGGCTTCCATAATCGTTCCCTCACAATTTCTAGCCTGGGAGGAAATATGGGAATCTCTGGAAACTAAATAGAACGACACCTAGACCATTGAGAATTTCTCCCTGTCACTTGATATGCAACGATGTATTTGGAATTAGATTAACGGTTCCCTATTAAATATATTTGCTGTACTTGTTTATAAATAATCTGCCTAATACTCATCCTCACCAGGAAAACAATTCAGCACACATAAATAACATTTCACACAACAAATATCAAAACGAAATCGTCACTTTGCATACTCTGTGTGCCATACTGAAATACACGATTTTACGGACGAGCATAACAACGCCGTAAGATTGCTGTCTTGTATTGTATTGTTTGCAACATAACCGTAAATTATGCAACCACACGCACTCTCATCCTGTTCAATAGCTGTTCGTATTGAGATGGCCATATATGGAAGAACGGTTACTTATGCCCCAAGACACAACACTTCCCCATCTTTTCCCTCCTTCATTTTCAGTCCTTATCTTGGAACCAATTTCATTTCGACACTTCTTGACGTACAAGCTATATTTAGTATTTTAACAAAGGTGAACTCCACTATCTTGACATTTTCAGTCCCTCACGGAGCAATTTGTACTGAATGTCAGATTTTACATTCCTTAGAAGGTGGGGCGTCACAAGCTGTGGACAGAAATTATATTCAATATTTTCTAACCCTTGGGAACAATTAAAGTGGATCATTCCACAGGCAATTACATCTCCTGAATGCACCGGTTGCTCTTATATTCAGAATACCAGAGTTCAGATAGGCTAGGATAGCGCTTGATTTCGGTGGATCATTTTCTTCTCATAACCTGAGCCGTTATGATTTATTTCTAAGCACTTCCAATTCGACACATTGTGTCACCTGCCTCTATTCTATTTCTGTCAAAGATGGGTAATGTATTTCGCAAGTCATCCACTAATGACCCACATCTTTGAAGAATTGTGGCAGGTGTGTTGTAGTGATGTATTAGACTGGCAATTGCGTATGGCGCTTACAAGGATATTGCGATTTTCTGTCTGTTATACAAAACGCACACGGAATACTCATCACACATGAGTGTAATAATGTTTTTGTTTCCCTCACTAAAACCACTTTCCTTACATGAAGGAAGACCTTCTTTGCACATTTATGCCCACTGGGTTATGTATAGGTCACAAGAAAATAATAGTTTACAGATACTTGCAACTGTATGCATTGTTAAGATAGCACGAGTGCTGTAGTCTAGATAGTTAAGTCGGCTTCTCCCCGCTTTTTTGTGATGGTGCAAATGTCACAACAGATATGTTTTATGATCAAAAGTTTGTCTAAAGTCATTACAAATATGATTTTTCCCTTATCAACTAGGATGTAGAAAAAACAAAGATTGAATCAGCCTAGGAAGTTCAAGTTTATCGGGGGTTCTACTACAAAGTGGTGTTCATCTTCTATTTTATCTAGATTACAATATAACGTTACATGCTTATCCCAGGCGAACACAAAGTATCTGCCCGTGTAATTCAATAGAATTGGTTATGACCATATGAGGCGAACCTTCACCGACGCTTCATCTCTTGGAGGCCGAGTAACCTTCACATCGGCTCAACAGTGAGGTAAAGCGATTGGGTACCATGACCTTGTAGCTCTAAAATAGTTCTAGTGGAAAATGAGTTCAAACTTGGTCTAACCCTCGCCATGATTGCCTTCTTGTTATATAGATGTGAATTGTGCCACGCCTAAAAATAAGCCAGCAGTCTTCATTATAGGTCTCCTTCACTTTGCATTGTGAAATGGCTCATTTTCGTGTGTTGGTTTGGGGTTTAGAATGTTTAAGTTTTGTAGTAAAGTTCTTCAGAAACAACCAAACACCTTTTGAGAACTTTACACATGCCAAATACGTAATGCCTATCAGTATAGAATGACAATATGACACATGTCCATTTCTACCACTGTACCCGTCACTTCTTCTCCACTTGTGACAAAATGTGTGAGGAGACCTTTTTTGACCTTCAATTCGACCTTCACTACCGATATCTGCAGTTACATCATTTCCCCTAAACACAAACAAACACACACACACACACAAACAAACAAACAAACAAACAGACATACCGAAGAAATATATCTTGTGTATTAGTGTGACGCGAAATAGGAAGAATAAGGCACATATGCAGGCACAGATTTTATTATGGTCTATTGTGAGCCTGTCTTTATATGTTGCTTCCTTTTAACCGTTCAATATGAAGTCAAATAGTGAAGAGCAAACGCTGAGCCCGATTTGTCTCCCATGTCTGACCTGTCATCGCCGATCTGTCCCCGGCGTGCCACACAAGTTGTGCCTCCGCGGTCTGAAATAGTCGCCATCGCTACACGTCCCCGTGACTCCGGTAGTCAAACAGCCGTACGTGTCCCGCCTGGCGTGCATCTAACAACGGCCGTGCCACGCAGCTGTCAATCATGCAGCGGCGCCGACAACCCGGATATCTCCGTCAAATGCAGTCAGCTATTTTAAATCTAGATTATACCAATTGTTGTGATCAATCCTTCCAACGACGATGATTATCTCACCGCAAAAACCTATCCTCAACACGGCCCTTAATCTCATAGGGTGATCCAAGGCCGTTGAGTCATTGTTGAAATTGATCTTCATACTTGAGGCGGCCAGGCATTTCTGAATCACAACCGACGATGTCAATGCAATTCCATGACCTCCCACATTTGTAGCTTATTACCTCTATTTGTTTCCTTGTGTGTCCGTAGTTATTTGAATACAGTAGAGTTAAAGGAAGTGAGATGGGAAATGGTGTAACCACAGACTGACGAGAAGGTCAAAAATTGGAAGTCAAAATGCAGGCTGTCAGGAAGAGATAGTGGAATCTGCACAGAATCAGCCTGAAATTCACAAAGAGATTCACAAAACGGTGAATATTTCGCGTAGATATAAGATTGTCGATTGCTTGTTTTGCCTCTAGTAAAGTAAAGGCTATTTTACCCCTTCCGTGACCCTGCCGAGCAAAAACTGGCGCAGGAAAACGAAAATCAATATTCCACACCCAGACTAAGGCATGGGTCTGACATGGGTCTGAGTTGCTATGGCAGCCATTTCAGTTGTCCTGAACATATGAATGGTCTGTCAGTATGGACAAATAGAAATATATTCGTACAATTCAAATGGAGGTTCTAATGGAAACCACAGCAAAGCGTTTCTCCACGTTTTCGATTTCTATTCTACTTTTTGTCCTGCGTCAAGAAACATGGAACTGTCCTAGCCGTGATACTGATTGATTGAGTGAGAAGAGCATGAAAAATCTGACCATGGTAACGATCGGGCATACATCCAGGGCGTGTGTTGTTGGCGCAAGCCCGACTGATAGATTTCCCGTAATCTTATGACAAACACGATGTCATCACAGATGTCTGGTCTTGATTCAGACGGTTCAGTGTCTTTCTAAAGTACCAAGTCCGAATGAAAACTGTAACAAAAGAAGCATTTCTTCTGCCAAAAGCTGACTTTTACGCGTAACAAACTCGACCACAACAGCCTACGTTAATTAAAAACAACTTCAGCCACCCCCTCCAAAACAAATTAGTATGGAGAACATCGTGTTCCTCGGAATACATATTGGCTTGGCCAAGATTATCTCATGCCATATATCCTAGTCTGTCGTTATCCCGTTCGTTACAGGATTTTAACACCCCTGTGAAGGCTATCAATATCTATAGCTGCTGTCATTGATAAATTTCACGGCCGATGCGAAATATCGCGAGAATGTCTGTGATCTATCGCTCGCGATTCAAAGGCTGAAGGGGTGGGGAGAGATACGTTTGGCGACAGGCAACTTTCCTGTGTCCTCCTGTTCGTTTTGTGTCGGTATGATATCTCCACATGCTGAAGTTTGTTTTCGATGTGTCCGTTTGTGTGTTCGCTTGTGGGCTAGCGTGTCTACCTCACGGGTTTACAACATGGGCATCTGTCAAACACTTGTAATCTTGCCAGGTTAATTACAGAATCAATTCCAGACGCTGTGTTCTCCGATCGAAGGCACAAGTACCCGATATATACACGAAGGCAGCCTATACACATGATAAATCCAAGTGGAAGCAAAGTTTCAACGTAAAAACATCTGTCTCGACAGGAAGACATTGTCTGGGTGGTTTCCAATGATAAGAACTCAACCTCAGTATAATAACTCTTCTGATGGCAGCCACCAACGGAAAGCTACAACGGTTATAACGTTGTTTTAAGAACCAAATATGGTCGTGTAAACAGCACCTTGTAGCCATTTGGTTTCGAGTACTGTAAACTCTCTCGTTTTTTAGGAAAGAGTTCCGCTGACAAGAAGACAAAAATAGTCCAGACTTCCTGCTGTACGTCTCTTGGCACGGGGTTAAAGAACCACTTTGTTTCTCCCGGATGAGGGATCCTGTTGTACAAAACAAATGTTCCTTTACTTTTCACTTTCAACCAACTCAATATCTATTCATTGTCGTAGTCCTCGTGAGGCTCCAGGGATAGTTGGGGCTATTTGTATGATAACAGACAGTGATAACAGACAAACGAATATCTTATTCCTCCGTGAAATATGAGAGTTTGTGAATTTGTTGCTGATTTTGTGATGCGTTTTCCCACTGGCTCTTATAGGGCATTAGGCATGGCTGGGACGCTCCAGAAGTATCGATGCGGCAT